AGACTACACAGCGTAACAACCCAGAAGACAGAAATCTTCATGCTCTGATGACGGAGGCAGTATGACCTCTGAACCGTTGGTTAACATCGACCAGACTACACAGCGTAACAACCCAGAAGACAGAAATCTTCATGCTCTGATGACGGAGGCAGTATGACCTCTGAACCGTTGGTTAACATCGACCAGACTACACAGCGTAACAACCCAGAAGACAGAAATCTTCATGCTCTGATGACGGAGGCAGTATGACCTCTGAACCGTTGGTTAACATCGACCAGACTACACAGCGTAACAACCCAGAAGACAGAAATCTTCATGCTCTGATGACGGAGGCAGTATGACCTCTGAACCGTTGGTTAACATCGACCAGACTACACAGCGTAACAACCCAGAAGACAGAAATCTTCATGCTCTGATGACGGAGGCAGTATGACCTCTGAACCGTTGGTTAACATCGACCAGACTACACAGCGTAACAACCCAGAAGACAGAAATCTTCATGCTCTGATGACGGAGGCAGTATGACCTCTGAACCGTTGGTTAACATCGACCAGACTACACAGCGTAACAACCCAGAAGACAGAAATCTTCATGCTCTGATGACGGAGGCAGTATGACCTCTGAACCGTTGGTTAACATCGACCAGACTACACAGCGTAACAACCCAGAAGACAGAAATCTTCATGCTCTGATGACGGAGGCAGTATGACCTCTGAACCGTTGGTTAACATCGACCAGACTACACAGCGTAACAACCCAGAAGACAGAAATCTTCATGCTCTGATGACGGAGGCAGTATGACCTCTGAACCGTTGGTTAACATCGACCAGACTACACAGCGTAACAACCCAGAAGACAGAAATCTTCATGCTCTGATGACGGAGGCAGTATGACCTCTGAACCGTTGGTTAACATCGACCAGACTACACAGCGCAACAACCCAGATGACAGAAATCTTCATACTCACCGCTGGGAAAACCTAAAATCATACAGACTTATAGGTAGTTGCCAACATTTCAGAGAAACATACTGTTTCTATCTTTATGTCTTACGTGGGGTTGTAGGAAAGTGGATTGTTTATATAGAGTCAGAATAAGGATGAGCATAGAAACAAATTACTAAAGAGAGTTCAGAAATATGGTGATTGTCTGAGCCAGTGAAGGAGTCCCCATCCAAAATCGGAGAGAATGGTTGGATCGGGAGAGAAAGAATTAGCCCTTTAAAGGGTCAAAGAAGGGCAGAACGAGGGTGAAGTTCAGGGAAAGCGGTCTGAGCCAGTGAAGGAGTCCCCATGCAAAATCGGAGAGAATGGTCGGATCGGGAGAGAAAGAATTAGCTCTTTAAAGGGTCAAAGAAGGCCAGAACGAGGGTGAAGTTCAGGGAAAGCCATGGGCTTGGAACAAGATGAAGATGATATGTGTAAGAGGTGGATTATCCCATACCAGAAAACGGACACGAAAGAGGGGAGATTGAAAGAAGTACTTTGTAGTTGTAATTTGAATAAGACAAAACATATGTTAAAGATGGAGAGTACAAACCGCAAAGCTAATAATCTGTCAAAGTATTGGAATAGCAGATGAAATAAGTTTAGAAAACGTAGGTAAGCAGAATGATTAAGTGGAAACCACGACGATTGGTAGACATTTTATGCAAGTGTTAAGTGTTACTCAATACGAAATTATAACAAGATCTAGAATAATTAATGATATAGTATTATGTGGCAATGGATGAAATTAACAAAGTTCTGTCAGATTTTTTTAGGAATACTACGCTGTCCTTAAAACTGTAAATTATATATAGAATTGTGACTGTTTAATAAAAGAAGATATGTGATGAGGTTATCTGTTAAATATTGGCAACGAGTCTTGCATATAAAACAGTAAGAATTTAATTAAGAGTTGCAATGATAATTCTGTATGTTGGTTTCTTATGGCTGTCTGTCCTATCCTAAACGAAATACATAGATTACTTGACGGAAGAGAGTCTGTAATAGGCGGATAAAAGAAATCAGATTACGAAGGTCGTCATAATATTTACTTTCCAGCGCATATTATTAGAGTGATCAGATCAAGGAACATGGTTGGGTGGGACTTTTGGCACGCATTGGGGACATGATTTTTCCTTCCGACAACTAAGATGAAAACCCGAACGATAGATGTCCCTGAAGAAACTTTGGCGTACACAGAAGCAAACTATTAGTACGCGTTGTAACAAAACTAATGTGTGTGTGTGTCCGTTGGGTACGACTTGCTCAGGAATATTTCTGGGCGTTTTTGTGTATACGGTAATGAACTTCCTGTTCCACAAAAGAATGAAAATTTCTTGAATAGGTGAATGACTATTAGCTTCCAAAGGTCTTTGGTCCATGGAAGTAGCTGGGGTTATCATTCCTCTTCCTTTGAAGCTACTTCCTTTCAGAATCTTCTTTCGCTCAAGCAGAATAAGAATCAGCACCAAATCAGATTTTCCCTTGTATGTGACGTCACAATCAAGTCCCTTCTTCCCGAAACAGAATCTGAGCGGCAGTCATCTGTTCCTTTTTGAAGTCGCCATCTGAGGGTACGCGGCCCTCAGTCTGCAGCTGTGATGCATTTTAAAACTTTGTCTGTTCAGACTTCACAGAGGGAAAGACAGAAAAATTCAACTCCTTTGTCTTAACTCGATAAGTCTCCTCACTTTTTGCTCTCTAATAAATATTCTAAAATGTTGGTTACGAGTGTGGCTGGGACATGGGAACGAAGTATTAAATAAAATCACTAACCTGACTATAACTCACTATTTTTAGTGTATAAATTGTGTGGTCTACACAGCTGTTGTTTTATAAATAATCTCGAGCTTTCCGTTAGCCAAAAACTTGCGTACGATATCTGAAATTAATTATATGAATGAACTATGAAATATTATCATAATTAGTGGTAGAAGAAAGCTTGAGTCTAGATATAAATTTCGTTAATGCATCTCACATCTACAAAAATATTCACAGGTTGTATCTGATGTTTAGACATTTACTTAAAGTACATATGTGAAGTGGTCGTATGCACTTTCCATACATATCTGTAGGCATGCCTCAGTTTTGTGTTTTTAAATAAATGGTTATATCTAATTCAATGAACATAACTCTACTTTAAATGATGATATCGCTTAACTGGTCAATAAATCCCCGACGTATATGAAACTTCACAAGATCCCGCCCGTGGTCAAACGAATCTGATTCATATCCTCAAAGTACTTTATGAATTTGTCTCTCTCTCTCGCTCTCTCTGTCATGCGTGCTATGTGTCTTGCCCACATCATCCTCCATGACTTGCTAGTTAATCCGTTGTTGTTCTGGTTACCCTCTTCTCAAACGCAAAGAATTTTTTTCCTTGATATCGCAACTATAAAAAATAATCATCTGACACAAGTGATGTTTTAGTTGGGTGGGATCCTGTTGACTTAATGAAAAGGTGTTTGTGACGTAAATTAATGCAGGTAATTCGTGTTAAGCGTCCCGTTTCCAGTGATCCAATTAATTGTGCTTATTTGGATTTAGTAACTCCTGTTCCAGTTATTACGCCCTAAGATTGGATGAAATACGTTTCAAAGGCTGCCACACTTTGATCGCATTTAGCACTCTCTTGTACTTAAAACGTCTCAGCTGCCTGGTTACGTGCTGAAACCACTGCTTCTTCAGATGACGAGAGTTCCAGGCTTCAGTTATCACATTGGATATTGAAACGGAGTTCGGCGTAGCAGTGGCTGACTGAAGAGGGTGGCAGTTTCTCCGAAACGTTGGTAGCTATCTACGGATCCATATGGCGTTACAACTCAGAAGACCAATATCAATATGTTTACCGAAAAGTTAGGAAACCGAAGCGGCTGTGATCCTGTAGCCATTATTACGCATTAGGGTCGAATCTTGTGGTATTTTTATATAGACGCTTGAAAGAAATGTTTGATTTGCCGAAGCCATTTTTGTTATCGAAAAATAAAACAAGTAGATGTACACAACTGCACAGTTTATCTGCTTCATACAGCCGCTGAAATTCGTAGCAAAGAAGAATGTTTGGTTTTGCCGCGAAGGAGGAAAAACAGATTTGCTAGAAGGATAGAAACAATGCTCTGGAAACCCTCACGCCAGTGACAGGTATGAGAGTTCATAAAGGATAACATAAGGTCGAGGAGATTGTGGAAATGTTTTGTGCTTTTGTCTTGGATTTACTTTCATGGTAAATTGAATTCTGTGTGTTTCATTACATAAATTCTACACATTTGACCCCAAGCAATAATACGATTGTGTCATCTAACTTAAAATCCTTATTTAAATGCGAGGAAAACAACTGCTTCGCAACTTCTGTTGCTATAGGTAACGAGTGCTGACATTTGCATTTATTTCTGAAGGGCTTGAATATGGAACAACAGCCATCATACTTTGCTGTAGATACGGTGTTTGAGAACACGATGGTGAGTAGAGTATTTGAGCCTAAGAGGAATATAATGACAGGAGATTGGAGACAGTTCTAAAAGTAGAGTTTCATAATTCGTAATCATGGAGAGATGAGAAATCCATACAACATATTAGTTGGAAGGTGGTGCCGTTGTTCGTAAATCTTTCGTAATGCTTATTTGTAAAAGTTGATACTGCACTCTTCTATTACAGCAGACAAATACAGGACTCCAGTGTACAATTAAACTTTTTAACCAAATGGCAGGTTATTATAAGACTGTCTTCTTACATTTACGAGTGAACGGATATTAACTTATTAGACAATTTCTTGTTGTGTATAATGTGTTTATAGTGCAGTTAATAGCCTTCTTAGTAGTGGTGCTTATAGATGGTATTCAAATTTGAGTAATTTTAGACTCTTCTCAGAAAGCTGTAATTTGCTTTAGTTCTACTAGTGAAATTATTATGGAACAGTAGGCGTGACGTACCTTGACTGTTACATTGTAACCCGTTACGACTATTGAAACAACTATAGACCTGTACATCAAACAGGTTTTTATTTTGTGTACTGTAGGCGAGCAGAAACACCGTCACGCACAATGATTTGGATGGCCATTCTGTCAAATATCTACTCAGAGGAAAATCCCCTAGACGGAAACCACGGCTATGGCGTAAACCAGCCATGAACCGGAGTTTGCCACTTCGTCCCGGATCCGCTCCGGACCCAAGTTGCTCACTGCCCGGATATAGCAGCCGCTTCCTTGGGACTGACCACAGTTCCGGTACAGCGTCTTTTAGCCAGGCAAGTAACCTCTCTTCTGTTGTTCACTCGGACTCCAAGAACATGGTTGTCTGCATGTAATTTTCATTGATCGTGTAAACATTTCTGTTCACTAGACTGTTTTCGTGTACACTGACCACAGGCCCATATAATTTGTAGCTTGTCCCTAATATTATAGTATATCTTCTTTTCTTTCTAGGCACCTTATCAACATAAATTCCCACAAGACTGTTCCCATTTTCTTAGTCCTTCGTGTATATTTTACCGTCTTTTCACATAAAATACGTCGAGAACTGCTTAACGAATATATAAAATTTATTAAAAATATTAAAAATATA